CTCTCATCACTGACTCATATTGCTGGCGCTTATGTGCTTATTTGTTTGACAGTTTTGCTTAGCCTTAAAGGGACAGCCTGAATCCTAGTACTGACAGTTTCTTCATCTCGCTAGCTACCATGTATTGTGACCTGAGGGGCTGGATGCTCCCCCTGGAGGACAAATGGTGCTTGATCACATCTATACCTATCCTACATACAGTACATATACACTATATTGCCAAAAGTATTGGGACATCCCTCTAAATTATTGGATTCAGTATATATATTGTTCTTCCTACCAGGTAGTAGAGTAGTACTAAGTAATAGATAACAGTACTCATACCTATTACATATTTGATTCATTAGTTGTTTTTGATGGGTGGCTGAAAGACTACTTGATATGCCTACTTGCACTAGGGAGACCCTACAAATCCGTACATGATATGGAATGTTCAAAACGCAGAACAGCAAGACAGGTAAAAATGTGAAAGTCACAGCAAATAATGCATTTAGGGCAAAGTCAGAATAATAACACAACAATGTGTGCTCAGTGAAAATACACTGCGTTCTCCTTTAACTCATAGGGGTACCACAGTTGCCTTAGTCCTGATGAGCGTACGCCTTTAAGCTAATAACTGCGTGGTTAATATCCCAGCTGCATGGATATTACTTAACGTCAGAAAGCTGAGAACACATGAAGTCATGTCACCCATCCCTTGCAAGGTGTTTCGAGTGCTTTAATATTTGTCATTCCTTGCATTGTTTACTCTCTTGCACAAGTGGATTAACCACTCCAATCCTTTTTGGCTCATATAGGGCTCTTAAAGTGTAACTCCAACTTTACACACCCTACAAAAAAAGGAAAGAATAATTCATACTGAAAATGTTCTTATGTCTTGTGTTAGACTCTTTTGTCAAATCAGACCAACAGAGAAATAAGCAGTAAGCATGTACTGTATGCAAAACTTTTTTACCTGCCAAATGATTCTGTGTAGCCAGTCTTGTGATTTGCAGTCCTCTGCCACTACAGCCAGGAAAGTTACATAGTTACATAGTATTTGGGGTTGAATAAAGACATACGTCCATCAAGTCCAACCCATATAGGTCCACGCATCATCTCATTCTTAGGGATACTGGTATCCCTGGATATTACGGTACCTCAAGAAATTGTCCAAACGTTTCTTGAACAAATCTACACTCTTGGCTGAAATCACTGCCGCTGGCAGTGAGTTCCAGGCCTTAACCGCTCTTACTGTAAAGAACCCTTTTCGCCCATTGTTCTGGAATTTTTTCTTCACCAACTTTAGGTGTTGACCTCTAGTCTTTGTAATGGAGTTAATCTCAAAAAGTTTGTTGCCAATGTTGCTGTCACCATTGAACATCTTGTACATGAAAATCATACCCCCCTTAATCTCCTTAATTCCAGCGTAAACATGTTTAAGGTCAGAAGCCTTGTCTCATAGCTCTGGTCCTCCATTCCCCTAATTAGTTTTGTTGCCCTCCGCTGGACTCTCTCCAGTTCAAGGACATCCTTTCTCAGTACCGGCGACCAAAACTGGACCGCGTACTCCAGATGTGGCAGTAAAGTGATACCACTATACTGGTGTAGCTTTGCAACTTGCTAGTGGCTACTCTAGGTTGTAGTCTGTGTTCCCTTTGCATGGGCACTGCTTGTATTTAGAGCACTACTAACGTGTTATCACCTACAATGAACCAAGATCCTGAGTGTGCTCTCGGGTTTGGGGGCTCCCCGGGAGCACAAACACTTGGCATGTTGGTTTTTGACACAGACAGCCCAGGGCTAGGTAGTTTAGGTACTCAAAGCAACCCTTAAAATTAAATGACCATTCCATATCCTTAAAGTGAACTTGCCAGTAGACATAGCTGTAGATAGATGGGTGGCTGCCAATACTGACTTGTTGAAAGGCACAAGCCCCAGGACTGTCATCATCATCCTTGCTTCACAACCTAGCAAGACACTAAGCTGGACCAAGCACATGGGTAAAGAATTTAGACTTCCGCATTCACTGGCTGCATGCTTGTTCATGCTAGTGACTCAGTAGAAGGAGAGTGCAGGATCAGGTTGACAGCCATGGAGTTTGCAGCGTTTAAAAAAACAGTCAGCAAAAGCTGTTTTGCTCTTTCTATCTATGCAAGTTCCTTTCAGCTCAACCTTTAAGCACCCAGCACACTCAATCCTCCCCTTGCCGAAGCCCTAGAACCTTACTGAACCCCTAAATAAACACTTTATCTTACCTTAACGCAACCCTGGAACTTAACCTTTAATCCTAATACTTAAAGGAGAACTATGAGGTGAGTGATTTTCACTCAGCCTCATAGTTCGAGCCGACATGTGACAATAAAACTGTCGCAGGTCGGCTCAATAGATCAGGAAGTGAGCGAACACATACCGTCACTCACTTCTCGATCCTGTCCCTGCAGAGAGCCGTGACTGTCACTCACGGCTCCCTGCAGGGATTCCCCCCTCCACTGTTCGATCGTCCAGTGCTGACTGGTGGAACGGACCGGGGAGGGGGCGGGTACAGCTGGCTCTGCCTCTAGATAGGCAGAGCCAGCTGTAAATCATTCATCAAAGCTGGAGAAGACAAAATCTGGAGCAGCTGTGCATGGCAACCAATGAGCTTCTCTCTTCAGTTTGTACAATTAAGATCTGAAAATGAAAGAGAGAAGCTGATTGGTTGCCGTGCACAGCTGCTCCAGATTTTGTCTGCTCCAGTTTTGATGAATTCCCCTCAGTGTATAGGACGTAAGGATGCAGAGGGACATACCATCGCTGCAATGGAGGAGGAGACATGCGGGAGAGAGCGCTGTCACAGCTGGCCAGCTCCAAGAATCGGGTGAGTAAAACTTTTTTATTTTCCTCCCTCCACCTATTGGATCAATGACATGTTCACATTCTGCACACATACTATATATTGGGTCAGTGACTTTTTGAATGTGCTTGCTTACATGCTGCATGCTTATATTGGGTCAGTGACTCTTTGGACTTGTTTGTTCATGTGCTGCATGCTTATATTGGGTCAGTGACTCTTTGGATTTGCTTGTTCATGTGCTGCATGCTTATATTGGGTCAGTGACTCTTTGGATTTGCTTGCTCACATTCTGCATGCTTATATTGGGTCAGTGACTCTTTGGATTTGCTTGTTCATGTGCTGCATGCTTATATTGGGTCAGTGACTCTTTGGATTTGCTTGTTCATGGGCTGCATGCTTATATTGGGTCAGTGTTTGGTCAGTGACTCTTTGGATTTGCCTGTTCATGTGCTGCATGCTTATATTGGGTCAGTGACTCTTTGGATTTGCTTGTTCATGTGCTGCATGCTTGACTCTGCATGCTTATATTGGGTCAGTGACTCTTTGGATTTGCTTGTTCATGCGCTGCATGCTTATATTGGGTCAGTGACTCTTTGGATTTGCTTGTCCATGTGCTGCATGCTTACATTGGGTCAGTGACTCTTTGGATTTGCTTGTTCATGTGCTGCATGCTTATATTGGATCAGTGACTCTTTGGATTTGCTTGTTCATGCGCTGCATGCTTATATTGGGTCAGTGACTCTTTGGATTTGCTTGTTCATGTGCTGCATGCTTATATTGGGTCAGTGACTCTGGATTTGCTTGTTCATGCGCTGCGTGCTTGTATTGGGTCAGTGACTCTTTGGATTTGCTTGTTCATGCGCTGCATGCTTGTATTGGGTCAGTGACTCTTTGGATTTGCTTGCTCATATGCTGCATGCTTGTATTGGGTCAGTGACTCTTTGGATTTGCTTGTTCATGTGCTACATGCTTGTATTGGGTCAGTGACTCTTTGGATTTGCTTGTTCATGGGCTGCGTGCTTGTATTGGGTCAGTATTTGGTCAGTGACTCTTTGGATTTGCTTGTTCATGTGCTGCATGCTTATATTGGGTCAGTGACTCTTTGGATTTGCCTGTTCATGTGCTGCATGCTTACATTGGGTCAGTGACTCTTTGGATTTGCTTGTTCATGTACTGCCTTCTTGTATTGGGTCAGTGACTCTTTGGATTTGCTTGCTCACATTCTGCATGCTTATATTGGGTCAGTGACTCTTTGGGTTTGCTTGTTCATGTGCTGCCTTCTTGTATTGGGTCAGTGACTCTTTGGATTTGCTTGCTCACATTCAGCATGCTTCTATTGGGTCAGTGACTCTTTGGATTTGCTTGTTCATGTGCTGCATGCTTATATTGGGTGAGTGAGTCTTTGGATTTCCATGTTCATGTGCTGCCTTCTTGTATTGGGTCAGTGACTCTTTGGATTTGCTTGCTCACATTCTGCATGCTTATATTGGGGGAATGATTTGTTAGATTTGCTTGTTCACTTGTATTGGAGCAATTACTCTTCTCTTTGGAGTAATGTGCTTGTTCTCACGCTGCATGCTTGTATTGGGTCAACAAAAAGTGTTGCAGCCAATGGCCCACCATGCCAGCTAAGCACCCAGGAATGAGATCAACCATGGTACCCTGTGCATTTCTCTCCATCCAGATTTCCTTTAAACAGAAGGCACCCAGTTACCAGTTTTTCCACTGCCAGTTGTTCTGCAAAGGCAAAACAAAAAATGAGCTAAAAAATTAAAAGCGGTTTATACTTTGTTTCTATCTGCTATACAATACTGTGATCTCACTTTTAAACGCAGACATAATTGCCAAGATAATAAGAACAAATTGCTACATTTAACTTCATAAAAAGCAAGCAGTTTACAGTGCTGCTGATCTTTGTCCAGAAACCAGAGATCTTTCCAGGGACAACATTTTCCAGTCTGCACACTGCCATCCAAATCCTTTAAACCATCATCACAGATCAGAGCCTGTAGACTTGAAACCACTGAGACATGACAGGCTCACATTTATAGCCCGAGGCAAAAGCTCACGCAGCTTACTGGGGGCTTTCACAAAAAACTTTATAAAACTTTTCTTTTTTACAGACTTTTGTGCGATAAGGAGAACCCAAGCCAGGAAACTTAAGCACCCTCACACATCTGGGGAGGGGGAGAAGGATTTTTGGGGGGGGCCCTTAACAGGACTTAAAGGACCTTTTTTTTTCTGGGAGAGACCTCCAGTCATGATTCTGCTCTCATCACGAAGTGTATTACTGTCAGTGTATTACCCCCAGATATTCCTCATCCTTACCAGTGGCAGTTACCTGTAAGTCTATTTTTCGTTTCTGTTTCTTCTGCCTCTTCTCCTCTTCTAGCAGGTGTAGACATGGGATGGACTATCGGTGGGGGTGGGCGTCTTCTAGTGGAAAGTTCTCAATGCAAAGTGGTGTGTACAGGGTGATGGCAACTTTTTTATAAAAAATATTTATGAATTGTATTATGTAGCTATTCATAGCAAGCTGGAGTCATTATGAATGAATGGGAGAAGAAGAGTCTAGATGCTGATGGGTGGGTGTGAGAAGTAGTTTCCAACTGCCGATGTTGTTCTGATTTTCAAGGGACGGTCCCATGTCTTGTAGACTTGTCCTTGTAAAGTTGTCTTTATTTTCTGGCAATGTCTGAGAATTTTGGAACTACTCACCTATTCCGTGAAACCTTTGTTGTTCTGTGCTAGAAGGTTATGTTAGCAAATATTGTAGGTTGTGTTGTATAAATATATTCTGTTGACTTGTAGTCACCTGTCACATAGCAGCTTTTAAATGAGGGATAAGCAACTCAAGTAGAGGATAAATCGAATTAATTTTAACAATTCATTTTGTTACGCAAATTTTGATTTGCGTGGATCTGTTCATGCACGGAAGGATCATGCATTACATGAGTTTGGACCAGCAGAAGTTATGACATTTATGGTCCTTTGCAGTCTGGACAAATCTACATGCAAATACTTGGGCCAGTCAAGAATTTGATTGCCTGAAAATGACAAGATTTGCCAAGTTGGTCAGATTTGGTTCTCTCTAATATAGAGAATGCAATAGTATGCGTGATAGATTTACTTGGGCTGAGTAGATAATTTTATTTAATGCTGCCACCTATGTAGATGTCAGGTGATGTTTAAATTTTGAGTCACCTATGCTTTGTTGTGGATGTTTCTGGTTGGGTCAAATTATGGTTTGGTTGGATAATACAGAGATGCTCTTTCTTCTTTTTTTGTGCTGAGATATAATCAATGTTGCAGAATTGTAACAACTTCTTTTTGGTTTTGCAAAGTTTATAGAAACTGTATGATCTTCGGTATTTTGATGTACTGGGAGTGACTGCCCATACATCTCTGTGAAAGTTCAGTATTGTCATTGCTGCAGGCGATCCAGTGCATCGAAAAATTTGACCCAATCGCCTTTGACGTTTGAGCAGTTATTGCTCTACGGCGGATAAGCAGTGATGGTGGCTCACATGTCTTGAAGAAAATAATGGATGAACATGTCCAGTTGGATCCTATTATGTATGGCCAGTCTTCATTTTACACCAGACCTGTAAACTGGTGCTCACTTAAAGGATATCTAAACCCAAGAACAAAAATCTAATATATTGCAGCTTACCAGTCCTTAGATGTTGGGGGCTGCATACGTTTTCTATTTTCCTCAATATTTTCAGCAAGTGTAGAAAATCCCTGGTGATCTTGCCTGAAATGCAACATCCTTTTCCCTTCCTGTGAGCTGAACTGAAAGCACAAGCAATGTTATCTTCCCTCTGTAAACTACTAATCTCCCCACCCACTCCTGTAATGGAGATGAACAGAGGAAGACTTGTTTGAAGTCCAGCTCGTGTGACAACAATAACTCTAAGCATAAAGACAGTGGAGTGAGTGAGTGTAGCCCCCCCAGCGTCAGTGTGTTATTTACAAGATTAACAGGTGAAAATAAAGGGGGGAAAAAAGAAAACAAATGCAACCACCACCTCTAAGAAGTGGTAAGCTGCAATACATTACATTTTTGTTCTGTGGTTTAAATATGCTTTAAAAGTCCAATCAGAATATAAGACACTTTGCATACTGCTCTTAAAGTGATTTTGTACCAGCATCAAGATGAATAAAATGATTACGCCGGATAGGCTGGTGTTAGAATGATTCCAGTTTCAACCGATATAATGTTTTATTGTTCAGTCATTGAGGATTTTTTAAAATTCTTGTTCTTAAAATGCACACCGTTGGCTGTTTCTTGCTGATTTGTGACTGTTATGTATATAAGCAGACACATGTGTTAATTTCAGAATGATGACATTCTAATTCTTGTAGGTAATTGAAACTATTGAACACCATTTGCTTATTTCTGCCTAAGATTTCTGAAGCTTGGCATGCTTGTTACTGATTTGTTTTTTATAATAATGCTGCTGTTGATGTTACTGTTACGATGACACTTTGTCATACTTCCCAACTGTCCCTCATTTCGAACCAAATTCCTCTTTCCTCCTCAGTTGTCCCTCTTTTTGGTCCGATGTACAGATATCTATGCAAAGGTTCCCTTCAACCACCAAAAGTGTTATTCTGCACTAAAACCTTCATCTTGTCTGTTAATTATATTGTTTGCTATATCAAAAATGCAATATAAAGGAAAACTAATGAAGAAAAAACAAACAAACACATTCTGGGTTTAACCAATCATTTTTTGGCATATAAATCCTTAAATGGTCCACATAACTGGGGGCATCACATAGGGTGTGCCTATTTACTGAATACATTGTGTTGGAAGTTGTCCCTCTTTCTCATCTCAGAAATTTGGGAGGTACGCATTGTTAGTGTTATTGACTATATGCTACACACTGGAGACAAATTGTTTGTTTTAGGGCAGGTTCACACCTATTCCACTGCGTTCAAGCGCAATTAGCTGCTGGAAAGCACTGGATCACATCCTGGCCGGCTCCCTGCGTTCTGGACAGGAGTCATACCCCCTCCAACCCCAGAACACAGGGAGCCGGCTACGATGCAATCCAGTACGTTCCAGCAGCTTACAGCACTGGAACGAACTGTAAGTGGTGTGAAATTGCCCTAAAGGCTTGTTCACACCATCTCCAGACAAGATCCAGACCAGAAAAAAAATTTTCTGGTCCAAAAATGCATTCCCATTCATTCCTATGGTAAAAAGTAACATGGTAACATAGTAGGTGAGGTTGAATAAAGACCAAGGCCCATCCAGTAAGGCTAGTTCACACCACTATGTTGAGTTCCAGAACATTTCAAAAAGTACTGCATGCATTATTTTTCCTGGTCTGGAACACACCAAAATGCAAGTAAACACATGCAAATGAGCCAGAATGCTCTGGAATGCACTAGAAATTCCATTGAGATTAAAACAATGCACTGGAACGCATAATAAACCGCAAAAACAATGCATCAAAACACACATACCCACGTTTCCTGATCTGTTCTAGAGATGGTGTGAACAAGCTGAAGAAAATGAAATATATCTATCTATATTATTCTCTATATCTTGGTGGCTGCCAACTAAAGCGCAAGAGGTCAGTTTACTAAAGCAAACCGGCTTAGTGAATTGATTAGTAAATTGACAGAACACCCAATCATGTGCAAGGCAAAATAAGAGAAGACAAGATTTTTGCTTGCACTGTATTGGATAATTGAGGTCAACACCCTTATTCACTAAGCTAAGTGCCTGTTCTGTACTCTTTTTTACTATATTCACCCGGGTATTTTGGTTTCATGTGAAGGATATCTAAAAAGTTTAGGTTTGTCGTATATCTTTCCCACCATATTAGATGTTCTGCAGTTGTATATTTCTCTGGGTTACATGACGGGTAGCTCTGACAGGGGAATACAATTCCCAGGTCACCAAGTAAGCCATTAATACAAATTAGACTCTGTAGTGTTATCACTTTTTTAGATTTAAGGCACCAGCTCAGCTGTAGAGCTTCATTTAAAGTGTATCTAAGACATTTATTTTACTTTTGGACAAAGTAGTAAGGGGTTAGAACCCCTAGAGGGTTTTATTGCTGTCTCTACCCCTGTTTATCTTCTCTATTTGTCCTGCTTGCCATTGTCATCAGAGGAGAAAGTGATGAAAAATAAAACATTTGGAGTTGTCCCCAAAACATGAATTGAGGGGATGTCTTTCAGTGGGGACACCTGTTTTGGTTACAACTGTCTAAGGGGTTCCCTTACTTTGGAGAGATTTTCTCTAGCTTGCTATTGTGTTTACAAGTAAAGGAAAATTTCCCCTATAGGACACAGATGGCAAAAAAATATAAATAAGCAACAGATTTTTAAACCATTCCCTACTCTATCCAAAAACAGGTTTAGGCTTTAGATATACTTTAAGGGTTGGCCATTGGGAAGTGATTCAAGGCCTGATTGGACTGGTAATACCCTGGCTTTTGAATGTATGAAGGCCAACCATCATTCATCTAGACTTAGGCCTGCTTTAGTTGGGTAGGCTCTAACCATTGGAAAGGATTCAAGATCTGATTGGACTGGTAATGCCCTGGCTTCTGAGTGGATGAAGGCCAACTATCACTGATCTAGACTTAGGCCTGCTTTAGTTGCGTAGGCTCTTACCATTGGGGAAGGATTCAAGAGCTGATTGGACTGGTAATACCCAGGCTTCTAAATGGATGAAGGCCAACTATCATTGATCTAGACTTAGGCCTTGCTTTAGTTGGGTAGGCTCTCACTGAGAAACTGGGCCATGAGGTTTTATAAAGGCTCTGCTTGAAATTACTCCATCGGTAAATTATGCCCTAGTACCCAAGATGCCTGTGTCCTTTCCTCTTGTCTTGAACAAGATTTTTCTACTTTGTACGCAGTTTTTTTCTTTGGGGAAAAACAGCAAAGGTTTGATAAAAAAGAAGAGAACGGCTGAAATACTTCCCTGGAGAAAATACCACTTCAGTTGAGTTTGCCTCTAGTGGTGCTTACAGAAACAAATCCTAGGCATTTGGTCATGTGATCTCTGCTGAAGGGGAGGTTTAGAGTTTAAATTTATTGATCTCCCCCTTAAGCAGAGGCCACGTAATAAAAAGCCTATGGTTTTTGGTCATGTCATCAGCCTTGGAGAGCCTGGTGCAGAATTTTCTCCAGCAGAGTGGAGTATTTTAGTCAATATATTTTCCTTTATGTATCCATCTATCTATCTGAGTTTAGATACCATTTATGGTCAATCAGTCCCCTTCATTAACTCTCCGCCTTGCTAAAAGATTTTCGTGGACGGTGCTACAGCATTATGACTAGCAATGGTTAAATCTGTCAATGTTAGCAAAAAT